ACACACACACACACACACACACACACACACACACACACACACACACACACACACACACACACACACACACACACACACACACACACACACACACACACACACACACACACACACACACACACACACACACACACACACACACACACACACACACACACACACACACACACACACACACACACACACACACACACACACACACACACACACACACACACACACACACACACACACACACACACACACACACACACACACACACAGAAAGTCCTCTCTCTGTCTCTGGAGAAAACGGCCAAACCGCATTCAAGACGTTTATAACGGAGGAAGCTTAAATTGGCTGATGAGTTCAGAGTTCACGGCAACCGCGAGATGGACGTTCAGCGTCACGACTGAAAAGAAAAACTTATTTCACTCCCGCCGGCGTTAACACGTCATTAGCTAAAACACATCCTGACAGTTTCTCAATTCTTTGCTTTCCAGCTCGACGACATGCAATTATTCTGCGAAGCGCCTCTTGTTAAGTGAAAGCGGCCGAAGCTCTTTTCACGCGCTTGTGCTCGAGCTGAAAGCGCGGGAAGATTAGCGGCGTCTCTTTCTCTTTGTGCCTGACTGTCAGGATTGTTTATCTGTCGACGGTCGTTTCAGTTCTCTATACAAAAGCAAGACGCCGTTCATTTGTTTGGTGATTAACAGCGCAGAAGTTTAGCTTGAGTTTTAACTTTTTTGTTGTTCTTCCCACTTCTTTTAAACTATTATCCGTCAATAAAAGACTTGCACACAATGCAATACGGCAGAACACATTATTTCTCCTCTGTAAATCTTACTGGTCTGTTTGCAAACGTAAAGTGCGCTTTCTAATCAGCTAATTACGAATGCTAATGCGAGCGCGTGACGAGTCGAGTAAATTTCAGAGGGGGTTTTAGGGGGATCAGTCTGAACTTTCTCGATCGGCCGTAAGAGCTTAGCCGTTTAATTACTCAAACTCTCAGTCATCAAAGCTGGTAATTAATTAACTGCTGCATCTTCATAAACACCTTTTGTCGTCAAGAATTAAGAGGCTAACAGCTGATTGATGCCGGAGTAATCTCACACCAAGCATATTGCGCATGACAACGTCATAATACCATGTGTGTGCAAAGACAACAAACAAACCAGTTTTCAAAAATGAAAAATGTGCACAAGTGTTTTTATTTTGAAGGATAAACGGTTACTGTTGAGGACAAATGAGCTAAGCCAGAACACATGCAAATATATATTTTTTATATTTTTATTTTATAAATGTATTCTGCATTACAGTAATGCAATTGTCATGCAAAAATGGGATCCTAAAAATAGGCAAAGTGCAATTTAGAAAATAAATAATCAAACAAACAAACAAACTTTTAAACAAATACTAGCATGATAAATAGGCTACTTACTGCAGTTTGGGGAATATATTTTTACATTTTATGTGATATACATTTTTTTTGTTTGCACTACAGTAAAAAAATTGGGGCAGAAATGTGCTTAATTGACATGCAATAACGGTTAACAGGGTTCATATTCATCACAAAACAATGTGCAATTAAAAGAAAAAAAAAGGAAAATGTGTGCAAATTTAGCTAATACTTTAAAAAAAGACCGATGCAATGATATTTTCAGATTTTTTTTGTGTGTGTGACTCTCACTAGTTAATTATTACCTATTATATATATATATATATATATATATATATATATATATATGTTGTATATGTTTCTCATGTCTCTCTGTATATATTTGCCCCACACACACCTGCCACAGTATACAATACCACGACTGAGGTGCCCTTGAGCAAGGCACCGAACCCCCAACTGCTGCCCGGGCACCGCAGCAAAAAAAAAAAAGGCTGCCCACTGCTCCGGGTGTGTGTTCACGGTGTGTGTGTGCTCACTGCTGTGTGTGTGCACTTTGGATGGGATAAATGCAGAGCACTAATTCCTAGTATGGGTCACCATACTTGGCCACATGTCACTTCACTTCACTTCAACTCATCCCGAAGTATCGTACTGCCCTGAGGAGCAATTATTAAATGTGTGAAAGACTGGAATGATGAGTCCATTTTGTGCCTACAGGGGTGTTATGACTGTACAGACTGGGAAATGTTCAAGGAGTCCTGCACCAATATTGATGAACTTACGGACGTTGTCAGTGGTTATGTCTCTTATTGTTTTATTCCTGAAAAATCTGTGAAGGTGTTTCCGAATAGTAAGCCATGGGTGACTAAATCACTTAAGGTTTTGTTAAAAAAAAAAAAGAGACGTGCGTTTCAGGAAGGTAACCTTCTGGAATTCCATAGGTTAAGAAAAGAAGTTAAAATTGAAATAATGAAAGCTAAGCAGTGTTATACTGGGAAGATTGAGAGGCAGCTAGCAGATAACAATTTAGGTTCTGCCTGGGATGGCATGAAAACTATCGCAGGCATAAAGTACAATAGAAATCTGAAGGTGACACTTAAAGGACATACTTGTGATAGTCAGCTTCTTCTTTAGTTATGAAGTGTTTTGTAAGATTAATGAAAAAAGAACTCATCACAAAAACAGGGAATCTTCTAGACCCTTTACAGTTTGCATGTAGGGCCGGTAGAGGGGTAGAGGATGCCACTGTAACTTTGCTAAATTTGATTTTTAAACACTTAGAAGGAAGTAAAACACATGCCAGAATTTTATTCGTGGACTTTTCATCTGCGTTTAATACCATTCAACCCCACATTTTAGTTGACAAGCTTTTAAAGGGGTCCTATTATGCTTTTTCACTTTTTCAACTTTAGTTAGTCTGTAATGTTGCTGTTTGAGCATAAAAAAGATCTGCAAAGTTACAAAGTTCAAAGTCCACTTCAAAAGGAGATATTTTATTTAACAGAAATCACTTTTCAAAAACTACAACGAACGACTTGTTTGGACTACAACGTATATTTTCCGGGATTTGTGATATCACAAATACCGATGAATGGGACGAGACCTGGTTGAGCTGCACTAGAGAAGGCAACGAGTGTTATCACTATGTTCTCCCCTGAATGTAGCCACACATTAATGTTTGCATGTAAACGAAACCAGTTAGGACCTTTAACTGTTTTTGTGTGACAATTAAGCATTGCATTACATTTGCAAATAAACTAATAAACTAACAGTAATATAAGCAAATTTAAAGAAAAAAAATACACACTTAGAATAATATACTTATGGCCTAATATGTATAATATAAGCTGTGATAAAGTGGAGTGTTTCAGTCATTTTACTTATTAGTGTTTAATCCTCCTTTTTGAAAAAGTCGCTTTAAATAAAATCATCTGCTGAATGTGTAAATTAAGATGCAATTTTATAATATTGCAATATCAGCTACTAGCTGACAAAACTCTACATACTTTCCAAAAAAACCTGTTTGCATTCAAATGAAATCCTGAATAAGATCCACTTAAGCTTGATTTCAGACATGCCTCTTTCAACACCATCCAAACACATCTTACACATTCATATCAATCAAACACTCTTACTCCAGTGTGTAAGTGCTTGAAATAATAACAGAAGTGAGATGCATCCTCTCTCTCTCTGGATGTCTCATTGCAGGTCTCTAATAACCATTAAGAATAGTGTGAGGAGCTTATTTGTATCGCAGAGGCAAAACAATAAGAGCAGCCGCCGCAGAGTTTTACTCCCCGTGGAATAAACCGCTGGCTGAACTGTAAATAATAGCCCAGAAAAAGATATTACTGTGAACTCGCCGTCATATTACAAACGCCTCTGTGTGTGTGCACTCGCCGCTAATTGAGCAGCTCCGCCAAACTAAATCCATTTTAAAAGAATAAAACTGGTGGGAAATTATATTGAATTGGAAACAAAATAGAGCTACAACAGAGAAAGAGGCATTTCAGGACTCTGGTTTCTACAAACCTTCGTGCTCCTTGTCCGATACTCCCACTTTCTTCATCTTCTTGGGCGTCTTCATGAACAAAGGGAATATGGTCCGCAGGCCCAGGATGTCCACAAACTTGTGACAGTTATCCGACCCCTCTGGACCGATCACCCCGTAGTCCAGGACCTTCAGAGCACTGACTCGAGACACCTTCTTCTCCCTGAACAGACATAATGATAAATGTATCATTGGCACACTTTTAAAGTACAACACTCAGACTAAACTACAAACAAGCAGGAACAAACTACTTAAAAGCCATTGAAAGGACAAAGTTTGTAATTCTTAGAAATAAGAGCAGTACTTATTCGGCACAGAAATTAGAAATTTGCATGCATGTATATGCATCAAAGGCTATATTTATGACAACCGCAAGAATAATAACATTTAAAATACTTAAAAATACTTAAATTGTACAAAATTTTAACAATATTATGTTTTACAAAAACATTTACTAATTAATTCATTAATAAATATAACAATTATATACAACATTTTAAATGTATATTTGATAAAAATTCTAATATTATTTACAAGATAAATGTTTTTAAAAATGTCCATTAATTCACTTTGAGTAGAAAAAATGTCATGGTTATCAAAAACAATACATATAACGTAATATATTATTATATACAACAAAACAACATAATTAAATAAAAATAAAATTGTATATCATTTACATGTTACTCTC